AATAAATTATTCATTATAGATCAATTAAAGATCATTAAGCAACCCACCCGAGTTAATTACAAAGAGCACGTATCGTTAATGACTACAACAAAACGTTAATCACTAACAACAAGTAATAGACATTTCCAAATACACTTCAAAACCTTTTTATAGCTTCTGGCAAAATTGCGTGATTCACTAGTTGATGGACTATGTTTTCATGTCTCTATTAAACGTCAGCTCTTTATATAGAACTGAAACAAATATACAAAACACTCTATATTTATATTTCACAGTAATCTATTCAAACGAACTAGCTAGAATGAAAGCCAATATTTAAAGCGTTGTTTCCGTTAATATAAAGAGGTTGTTGTTAATGTTTTCAGTACAGAGACTAAACGGCTTGATTGATCTTCTCACTGGTTGTGGAGTGAGCGTAAGGATGGGTTTGATAAAGTTCAGATGACTGTAGCTATAGGTAATCACATGATTGTGAGCAAATAAAGGCTTTATAAATAAGGTTAATCTCTGAAGTTCCTTCAAAACTACACACCCCTCATCACGTTTCGTTAAGTAAATATACGCTCAAGTGTCCTTGTCGTTTTCCAGAAGAGAAATGAAAGAGTTATGTTTGTTACGGAAAAGGCCCTCAAAATAGAGAGATAATTTGCTTTAAATAATCATAACTCACATCAGGTAAAGACCGTTCCGACTTGCACTGGAAAACTACTGAAGATATTTAAAGTCATGTAAGCTCCAGTCCATGCAATGTTTCCTGGCTAGGGACCTGGACACCTTATCTCATCTATGAAACTCCTCTTTTAATTTCTTCTTTCATCTTTCTATGCAGCTCCACTTATACGCATTATTCAAGTTTATTTAATTACCTATTTTATCGACGCGGGGGAATCAGTTATCCATCAGGCCGCGTTGTTCAAAAGCATTTCATGCGTAGTTACATAAAGCACAAGCCACATTTTAGCTGAAGGTGAATGGATTCACCGATATTATGTTTCCGGAACCGCCACATTGTTACCACCCGACAAGGGTGGAGAAAATATACTGGAAATACTAAAATATACTGTTACTCAAAGTTGTAACAATTAAGATTATTGTCAACCGATATCAGGATGTGTTCGCAATGCTTGTTCCCAGTTGTGACCAGGTTCTAATGTAGTTGTGACCAGTCTCTAATGTCAGGTTTCCATCTGCCTCCTCCGCAGGCCCTCGTTGTGTCATGGGAAGGTCACGATTTCGAGAGGGCCTGCGGAATCTTGTAAAATGAATAAATGTTGTTTTGAACCTACTTCGTTAAAGAAGGCAGTTTTATTCATGCAACGTTGGTGTGGACAACAAACCTTATCGTTAAAAATGCTTCCTTCCACGTCCTAAGAGTCGCCAGTTTAATTTACAAGTTTCACACCGCTTTTTTATATCTGTTTATATTCAAGATTATGTAGAAATTTACTTGCTGACGTGACGCCGGCGCCATTTTTTTTACAAGATTCCGCAGGCCCTCGCCAGATCGTGACCTTCCCATGACGCAACGAGGGCCTGCGGAGGAGGCAGGGTTTCCATATTGTCGTAACGGTCGTAAAGATTGAGTTACGATCTTTCTCATCAGCCGAAATACAATATTGTGATTTATATGTGGTTTACAGGTTTAAACAGATAAACTATTATAAACTGGGCGTTGAGATGACTCTATTTTTACGACCAACAAGTTTTTACTCGGTAACATGCAGACTTACTACAAGTTGTTCCAACATGACTAATTCATAGCAAGTTGCTATAGAAGCTTGTTGTAATCAACTTTTTAATACCTTTACGCGTGCATGCAGACGCGGATATCAAACTTGTCGCAAGAACTAATTGTTGGCCTCATCAACATTGTTACAAGATGATAACAACTTGTAAACTTGTTCCAGACTTGTCAACAAATGGGAACAATCAGTGTGAACACATCTTCTTGACAAGCTGTGATATTTTACGCGTCACTACGCTCAATTTTTGGTACGGCACGGATAAAATTGGTACCCGTACCACTTTTTTGGTTCTTGGACTACCTATTTAACTAAGCCCCGTTTACACTACGATCAATTTTTGGTACCGTACCACTTTTTGGTTCTAAATAGGTAGTCCAAGAACCAAAAAAGTGGTACGGGACCACTTTTTGGTTAGGTAGTCCAAGAACCAAAAAAGTGGTATGGGTACCAATTTTATCTGTGCCGTACCAAAAAATCCTAATCACCAGAACTGAATTTTTTGCCATGTTCTTCAATTTGGTTACTAGAAGGAGCAGGAAATGGCATTTATATAATAACTACAGTGAAACACGCAATTTGATTGGTCAAAAGCCGTGCAGCATCAGACTATATACCCTGCACGAGGAATTAAAATGCCTTCGCGGGATTTTCGCGGGATTCTCAAAATCTCATTGTTTCACTGTAGTTATTTTATAAAACAATTACCAAATGGTTTTCCAAGCAACATAGCGTGATCCATGCACTTGGGATGTTGCTCAACTTTCGGAAAGCGTAAAAATACACTCGCCTGCGGGTCGAGTAATGTGATTTTTCAGCTTTCCGAAAGTCTTGCGACATCCCTTGTGCATGGATCACGCAATCCTGCACGGGAAACCATTCGGTATTCCTTTATTCCGAGCCTCAATTTGTCAAACTTTCAGCTCTCCTAACTTTATGGTATATCTTCCTACGCTTCTGGAGATGCCACATTTGAAAAATTATGAATTGTGTTGTTTGAATTTGGCGGTCCGTTGAACAGACGACGTCACCTATTGACACTATTGATAAATTTAAAAACAAAATGGCGGACTGCGTGCTGTTTTGTATCAAAATATTTTGAAAACAGGACAGACACAGAAAATTGTATTAATTAAACACGTTCGTAGAAACGAGTGGAAAACAGTCTCATAGTTTAAAGATTTGTGGAACTGGAATCAATCGAACGAAACGAAGAATTCGATTCAGTATGATGATAGTACAATGATAGTAAACACATGACTGAATGAAACGTGATAGTTATGACGTCACCGGAAATTGTTGCAATTACGACATGTGACGCTCTTTACAATATTGTATCGTTCTATATTCACACATTACAAAGAAATTTCATAAATTTCCGTTGTCAAGACGCAACCATTTAAGGTTAACTTGTATTTTCATTTCCACCGAGAAGTACGAGCATTTATTTGGTTTGATAAGGCGTTGTTTAACTGACTTCTTCAAGCGCAAGGCCTGGGCCTATTGCGACATTAACTAAGCTACTACGATGTCGTTTCGAGGACGAACTATTCGTTCTTCGTTCAGAAGAAAACAAGCTGTTGTGTCAGAGGTACGGATTGTTTTAATGGACAACATTTGTCTTCAGGAGAAATTCGACGGCGAATCAACTTTAACGGGAGTTGATATATTACGGCGTGTCGGGAAACGACTAGAAATCCCTGACATAGATTTGAAGTACTTTGGTTTGAAATACCCTGATTCAGACGGGCAAATGAATTGGCTGATCCTCTCCGAGCCTGTGAAGAAACATGTCTCAAAGAAGCCCTATCAATTACAGCTAGCAATACGCATTTACCCCGAAGCGAATGAAAGTGTATCCGAGAGTTGTCTAAAGCTGTGTTGTTATCAAGTGAAGAGCGATATTAATCGAGGGATGTTCATCTGTACGCCTTCACAACATGCCGCGATCGATTCATACTTTGCACAAGCGATTGTAGGGGACTACAAACCTAAGAAACACACTCCCGGTTATCTAGAGGACTTTTTAGGCTTCTTATTTGAGCATCCAAGCGGCGTAAACTGTAGTGTGGGTACTGTGAACGCGAGAGCGTACGAAGATGACGTGGTACGAAGACATCAAGGCCATCACGGAATGACGAAGAAGGAATCATGGCTGGCGTTGCTGAATGTGGCGTCGACCATAACACGTTTCAACACGTTAAAACATCAAGCGAAAGATTGCAGTGATAAGACTCAAGTTGAAATTACAATTTCTCAAGAAGGTGTAGACGTTTACAACCTAAATAACGTCAAGGAACCAGATTTTGTGAAAAAACATTTCTCCTTCCGCGGACTTGCAGTCATCAGCTACAAGAATAAACTTATGTTGACTTCAACATCTGGCAAATCTAAATTCAAATTCACAGGCTTGTACGGCGAGAAAGCAGCGAGGCGGGTATTGGAGGATATTTTAGAGTCTCGTTTGTACAATAATTGTGCATTGACAAAGACAGATCCAGTGTCATACCACACAGAAGAGGCAAGACGCATGAGCGAGGCAATTTTAAACCGACGGGCATCAATTTATCGCAGTTTCCGTAATGAACCTATCGCGCGGAGACCGGGTTCCGCAAGTCGAGTTTACTCATCCATACGGTCGAGGTTTTCAAAGAAAAGCACAAAACGATACAATAGTGAGTCTAGCGATGAGATCGATGATCGAGAATTGCGTTATAAACAACGATTGTCTCGTATTGAAATGCTGCCTACCGAACAGAATGAGGTAAATGACGAAATACTAGCTACCCAGCAGAATGAGGCAAATGACATGTAGTTCTGTTTATTTTACTCTAAGATATTCACGCAAGTAGTCAACAGCTGTAAACAGATGATAAAATGCATAATAAAATAATGAAATAAAATAAATATCCGCTATTATAAATTTCAGGCTCCCTTCACACGGGAAAAAATGAATATTGGGACCGTCCTTATATTTGAACGACTTCGCCTGACACATTCACATGTGAGTCATGAGACATGGTATGGGGACCAGCAATATAGACCCACGAGTATGTGGACCAGCAGCATATAGAGGACAAACTTAGAGCACATCTGTGTGTGAAACAAATAAAACCAGGCGGATTTGAAGTTTTGAATGAATTTGGGTACGGTTGCCATTTTCTCGTGTGAATGTGGGCTTTATGTAAATCTTTGTTTTACAAGAGAAAACACGACCAGACAGTGTTTCTTTATGCATACACAACAGGCATTGTAAGCCGAGTGTCTAAAATTGCTTCTCCAAACAGAGTAGAACTATACCATTTTTAAAGCATAACCATTTCGAAGTGTACTAAATTCGTGGCAAAACACTGTTATCTATTTATATTATATAATCTATTTTAAGGAATTAGTTGGCGGTTCGTCTTCGTATTGCGGTCTCGCGTCCTTGAAAATGTCAGAAACATGTTTATATTGCATGCTTGATTGTGAACATTATTTACATAACAAATGTTTATTTTGGTTCACTGACTACACTTTGAGTAAACTTGAACGCTCGCTAGAACAAATATAACATACCAATATTTAATTATTAAATAAACTGTGATTAAATTCATCCTTTATGGTATTTATATGGTACTGCAATCTTTACTGTTTATCATGAATCGTGAATTAATATCGTGAATGGTGGTGATTGAGTTGTGGCCAATACTACGAGATCGGTGGGCATACACAGTAGCCCTCTGTATTGAACGGTTAACATTATATAAAAGCTGTCCAGTTTGAAACGAACGTTTGTTCCAATCTCGTCCAACATAAAGACAGCTTTTAGATATGTTAATAGCCGTTCAATACACATTCAACTCATTCCTTCAGCTTGGGATCTGTGTCACTGATCTGAATGCAGTACTGGACGGTGCAGCCGCTATGCATGATAAACAGGATGGTATTTCAAAGAGGGCTATTGATCTCTGTGATTTCACAATTCAAGAAGAAAATATCTTACGTTCGACGAAAAACAAAATCCTGTCACGAAAATAACTTTCTTTACCAGCAAAGTCAATGGCCGCCATATTGTCGTGACCGGTAGATATGTTAATTAGAAGAAGTTCCAACATTTTCTGGTTGATTCGAGTTGCTGGTTTCCAGCAGTGACCGGCTCTAGCATGTTGGTTTCAGAAGGCGTTACAGGGGCAGCAGATGGAAGCTTACGTCATATGTATAGATTCTAGCTCTAGCTAGACTCTCAACGAGAATTCGAGCCCAGTCCATGACGTAAGCGAAGTATATTGTGGTTCACTTCAAAAGTGTTGACACATCTAAGTTATAGCCTTGAGTTCATTTTATCGCGCTTCATATCAAAGTGGCGATTGACCATCTGTTGCTTACTCAAACCCACCAATAAAAATATAAAGTGACGTGTCGGAAATATATACAGTTTCCACATAACCATATAACCTTGTTAAAGCCTGGTTTACACTATCAAACTTTCTGTGATCACAGTAGGAATTTTGCATGAGTAAATTCTAAGTTTTGAAGAATTTGTAAGAAATCTTTGAGTGCACTAACTCAGTGTTAAACAATGAGCCAGTTCCTTCAAACATTTCTTACAAATCTTTCAAAACTTAGAATTTACATATGCAAAATTCCTGCTGTGATAAAAAAAAAAACAGGGCTTATGATAAGCATCTGTATTCCATGTGATCAGTTTTCAAACAAGAGAGTCGCTTGCGTGTTGTATCACGACTTCCCTGACCTTTGGTTATAAAAATAGGATATGTTTAGACTCGCCCCGCTCAGCTGTAATTAGTCGCAAGTGTTTCCGGCTTCTTTGATAACTTTTGAAATGGATTGATAAGAGATTCCTGTTTATCTGTAAAATATTTGTGCCGGGAAAATGAAAACAGAGATAGTTACAATCGTACAATCAACGTGAAAGCTGTTTTGCGCAACTGTCCTTGCGCGACCCACGTAAATTATATACGGTATTTGGTCATTTTTTCGTGGTGGCCTGGGGAGAGTTTTATACTTTAATGTGAGTTTATAAATTGAAATTTATTTAAATTGTTATGAAGTAATTTTTCATTTATTGTTCATAAGTTAACTTGAAGAACAATTTCTGTTAACGTTTAGGAAAAAAAAAATTCCTGCATGATTTTAAAGGAATTAGAAAAAATGGACGTGAAGTAACGACCCTGATGGGACTCGAACCCACAATCTCTTCCTCCGGAGGGAAGCGCCTTATCCATTAGGCCACAGGGCCAGACACGCCCACATCGTTATATAAATGCAATATATCTGTTGCACGAGAGGAAAGTTGTTAATTTTAGGGTTCAGATTTTGGTAAGCTTCGTGTTTTTAGTTTTGTTTGTGGAAACACCACGTAAATTTATTACTGCAAAGCTTTCGATCCGTAAGTCCGGATCTTCATCAGTGTTTTTGTTAACCCTTTGTGGAAATGAGCCCTATTTTATTATTTTACTCTGTCTAACGCCAGACGATTTTTCTGTGTCTAACGCCAGACGATTTTACTCGTCAGGGAGAGAGTGCTGCCACTCCAGTTACCATGTCAATGGGTTAATATCTTTATGTTGTGTTTTGATTTTTAATCGAATATTTCATCATTGATGTAGTCAATTATTTAATGTTTTAATTTATTTAAATTCGTTTAATTTTACAATATATTATCAGTTTAAATCATGATAATTACTTAAATTAATACTGTATGTTAAGAACGTACTGTAAATCTTTAAGAATTATTTTATTTATTTATTTATTTATTACATTTAATATAAATTACTTTCTTCAACTTAATTTAAGTTAACACTGCTGAATTATAAGACTTATAATTATATATTGCTTTAATATTATTATTATGATTATTAATATTATTAGAAATGTTTTTTGTTACTCGCTTATCATTATATAAATTACTTATATTTTTTATTTGTTAGAAGACGATTACTTGTTATTATTATTACTTTTATTATTAAATATTTTCATCTTCACTTCCAGTTCAATGTCTTAACATTGAATAGAAGTGGTAAATTTGGTGTATTGGTTAATTACAAAAAGGGAAGCGCGGAGTTTGTAGTGTACATACTGTATGTCTCTCAGGCTGAGGTTTTTCACTGGTGTACTGGGCGTGGTGGAGACGAAGTATTGTTTTCCACTTGATGGACAGTTGCAGTAATTTTCAACTGAGCTACCCTGCAAGCATTTATAACAAATAAACTTTAATCCTAATATATGATAAAAATAATGCACCCGAACTGAGATACGCCCCAGAGCCGATTACAGGTCTGGGGGGGGGGGGGTGTGCAGCAAAACCTCCCTACTTCCTCCGTTATTTATCCCGCCCCCCTGGTTATTTATCCACCTAACCGGGAATATCAAGTTAACCCAAATAGTGTTATTCTGGGCTCACCAGGAACGTTTTATAGTGGTAGAGGTTCCACTGTGTTTATATGATGATATTCCTTGTGTGGTCATGAATTTTGATCAGTTTTAATTTACCATTGTATTTTCTTTTTGTGCCAATTATAAAATTGAGTTGAAAAATTAAAAAATGTTTCTAAGTCTGAACCCTCAATGTCAACAGACAGAACCAACAAGCGAACGAAACAACGACACGAAAAGACGGAAACGACTGGGACGAACGAGTCGAAACTAAAAAATGCTGAAACGAAGTCGACGGAAAAGAAGTGATTTAAACATCGAAACCACTGATGAAACGAAACCCTCTGATGAAACGAAGGATACGGAAGCAAATTTAATTTTTAAACGATCGAAACGAAACAGTACAAAATAAACCGTTAATGAATAAAACCACCATGGCACCAATAAATGAAATATGAATCGAAACCATAGTCATTGAAACAAAACGAAAGAGTCACAAATGCATTAATCGGTCGCCACAGAAACGTCTCGAGCATTGCTTTCTGTTGTGGTTTTTACTTGTTTCGTTGTGGCATTCAGTTCAGGCTTTAGACAGTGCATCGGCCAAAAAATAATTATCTCTAAAAATATCCAAGCTTTTTTCTACTCACCACAGTCTTGGTAGCCACAAGTAGATTTGAATGACGGACAGAAACAGTGCCAGAAAGGTAAGCTGTGTATTTATCCATCTCTTTGAAATACGCATCAAGTCTGTCCATTGTCTGATAGAGAAATAGACAGAGTACTCAGTTATTCTTAAGAGAATTACTACTCAGTTATTTTTAAGAGAATTACACTAAACAACACATACGCGAAAAAGAAGTGAAAAAATATAAAAGGTAGTTATAATGAATGAAAAACGTCATAGTTAAAAAATGTTGTGTAACTGCAGAATTTGTGTGGACTTTATGTTAACTTTTTGCAATATAATTGAATAAAATTACATTGTCATTTAATTCAAATCTTGGTACTGAACTGTTTTCTTGCATCGGTTAAGTAAAGCACTCGCCACATATAATGCATCAATTAATATAGTATTTCAAATGGTAAAAAGCTATTACTATAAATAAAGATTTTTTAAATTTGTACCAGCTGTTTTGTAGAAAACTAGGTAACATTTCTGCAGTCGATTTCATTGTTATCAATATAGATAAACTTAATTACTTTCTGATATACAGTACCTTTGTGTTGGTTTTGATAGATATCAAATAACTTGGTGGGAAAGATATTGTTGGCTGTGCTGGCCGGCTTTTCTAAATGATGCAGAAATATGCATTTAATGTTGAAATTTAACTGATAACATTTATAATATGTATAAAGGATGGCCTTTACTGACCTCAAAAGAGAACAGTTTAGAACAGTTAAGGGCTATCCCGAATAAGTAAATTAATAAAATCAGTCCGCTTTATAGTCCATGCATTCCAAGTTGTCAAGGTAAGCAGGTATTCATCATCTGTGCTTATATGCATGCTCAATTCGCGACAACACATGAGGAACCTACATGTATATAGCCATACATGTTCAGCTAACTATAATCATACAAAACTCGATATCCCCATTAACTATACTTTAGAATACATGCATGTCAGTTTTACGAAAGCTTGTGTATGCATTTGGAAAAGTAATTCTATATTTATGTTCTATTTGTCTTTTATCATGCACAACATATTATATAATATTATGGAACAATTAAATACGCTTACTGCTGTCAGATTAAATAAATCCTTTATGTTTGTTTGCACGGTTTGAATATTGTTGAAATAATCTTGCTTGAATTTAGCCACTGGTTTACAATTCTTCGCAGCTCTAGGACGCCCAAACACAACTTGTTGCCAAAACACTGTGAATACCAGGAAAACTGCAAAAATTCAAAGAAAAAATAATTAAATACTAGCCACAATTAAAACACGGGCTTTTCCGTAGTTTTAGTTGACTTTCTGTGCACTGAATTAGGCTATTAACATTCATATACCAAAGCCTTTGTTCCAAACCTTCAAGTTAATCTATAGTTATATTATCCTTTAACAGAAGACTAGTAAAGACCCCCCTTAAGTAAACGTTATCCTGGATAGCTTTACTGCTCTCCCTGTACTATAGGGAGAGGTCCAATGAGGACCATTTCTAATGGACTTTAGAGGACACAGGAGAACTATACCAAAACCGAAGGTTTTTGGTAGAATCAATCTTGTTTTCTGGCGTGGTAAACTCCGATGATGAATGGACCTTTTCAGTTTGAATAAGTTAGCATAGAGTTTGATATACGAATGCTTATCGAAATATTTTGGACGTATTTCAAATATTTTGGACGTATTTCTTCAAGTGCAAACACTTGGCGTCCACAAGAACACTAGATTGTCTTAAAAAGAAGTTTCAGTTCTTAGTCCAAAACTTTGATTTTCGTTATAGGAACGTTAGAATTCTGTTATATGTTTTCCCGAAAACTGAAATTATCAAAGCCTTTACAAAGAGCTTCGAAAAATATCGTAAGCAGCACAAAAAACCATGACAAAGAGAGATTGGTAAAATTTTCATAAAACGAAGTTTCTTACCTTTCAATAAGTCCATTATTCAGTCCAATTTTGTATATTCTTATCTTCACTCTTTCAATTGGATAACTCTGAACACTCGTAGTCAATAACTTGAAGAATATGACTCGAAGTTCTGTAGCTCGGGTTTTTATAAGATTTTCTCCCGGAACATGTTGACGTTCTTACCGTTAAATTTAGTTACATGTTCATGTAGTAGCGAACGGTTGCGGTTAAGACAAAGTTCTCTAATTCAACTTTTTTAGTATTTTACACGAAGGAAACTAACTAAAGTAACAGCGCTTAATTAACTGGTTAAGAGAGACTGTGACGTTTCGAAAATTGTGTTAAATTAATTAACTTCCCCTCAATTTAGAGAGAGACCTTAAAATGCCATACAGAATCTTGTACTGTAAATTTTTATATATTTTTAGGCATTTTTAGAGTTTCTAAAATTCTGAATATTGAAGAATAGGCTGAAACTGCTGAAAACGGAACATTTTTCAGGTATAGTTGTATCCTACCAACGAAAGCTTGTGATTATATATGGAAGTGTTTAAGCTTCTTCATGGATTTTTACGGTCTATTTTTTGCTACTTTTTGCTTGCGTTTAATTACGTCTTAAAATATGTACAGTTTTTTGCTTGAAATTTCCATTTTTGACTAAAGTTTGGCAACAAATCAATTATGTTACGAACTATCTTAATGAGGCTTTTCATAGTCAACGACATTGTCCAAAAAACAATAAAACCTTGATGTTTAATTACTAAGATAACGAGAGTCTCTCGGAGAAGGGGGGGGGGGGTTCTTTCAGGGTGGGAGGGACTCTGGTTCTGTGCTCCAAAATGTTTCCTTTGTTCCCTTGTTCTCCACAAAGATACAAAGATGTCCCCATGTTCCTCTTTTCCTCAAGCTTACATGTCCCCTTGTTTCCCTACGATGCTTCGGCTTTGTTCCTGTGTTCCCATTGCAAAATCTGCCTCGAAACTTCTGGTAGACCCTCAATACCCCTCGATAATAAAAGAAAAGCTATATATAGAATACCAAAATGATAAATTTTATGTATATTTATCATAGGAGCAATGAGTCTATCTAGTTTGTGTCTTTGTATAAGCTAATACACGCACCTGTAGTCTTAGACTTTTAAGTCTAAACTAAATGTTAACTAAACTTTATTTCTATCTGGATATATAAATTGTTCTATAAACTGTTCTCCCTGGGGCCATTCCCAAACGGTCCAGTGTTACGGGGGGATACCGGAGCGCAGGAAGAAAACCCACTATGTTTCGGTCCAGATGTCACGGAGATTCAAGGCGCATGCGCCCAGTGTTTCACCATTCCCCACCAAACTGAAAACAACTATTGCGTTGTGCTAAAAATAATTTACATTTTTAGGTTTTTATTTGGAACTTGTGGTTGGTTATTGGATTGTCTCTAAATGGAGAGAGGAACTTGAAGATTTATCCACCGCCTGTTTAAGTTTCGTGAAGTTTCTAAATTTAAGGTAACCGTATACTACTATCTCGTAAACTTTATTTCTGGAATTTTTGGTGAGACGGTTATATTATGTATATCTAATTTTTTAATCTTAAAACAGTTTCTACTCAATTATGATTTAATAAAATACAATTTTCGTCTACAAAAGATTTTGTGTCTTTAATCTACTATAATCACAACATATTATTTGTAATATGCTATCTATATATTACCAGATAACGATACATTTCCTATGTTAACATATTATTTGTAATATGCTATCTATATATACAAGATAACGATACATTTCCTATGTTAACATATTATTTGTAATATGCTATCTATATATACAAGATAACGATACATTTCCTATGTTAAATTCTTTAATGTTGTATTGTGTTTTGTATTGTATCATTGATTAAACATTCATTATTAACGATTTGATTATATCTTGCATTATATCGTAATATAATGTCTCATTTTCTAATGCACTCTATTGTGTTGCATTATTTATGCTATCGTATTATATTCTATTGTATTCTATTATTAAATCAATGCTAATCAAATTTTACTTAAGCCTATGGCAGTCTTTAGAAAGCGCCAAATAGCGACCTGGCACACAATCGCGTGATTTCACTTCCGGTTTTTCCACCGCAAAAACGTTATGAGTTATATATAACTAATATAAGTAGTCTAACTTACCTGCTGCAGAATATAAATGTAGCAGCCTAGCAGGCTTATAATGTAGTCACATTGAATACAACGTTGGAACGCATAACTACTACGAACAGAAATTAACATGAAGGGTAAGTTTTCTCAATATATATTTTTAGTATTTTTAGTTCAGTTTTATGTAGAAGAATGAAAACAGAACAGTGGGTTGACTGATAATCTTTTCGCGGGTATATTGTGGCGCTACTGAGAAAAATCGGTCGTTTCTAATGGGATTCGAAATTGTAAGCTTTAGGGTTCTACCGTTCTAAGCATCATCTATCAAAAAAGGATTGATTGCAAGTTTTGTCCCATTTAAGTGCGCGAAATATTTGTACTTGAACACTTGTTTCGGATCGTATCCAGTGTATCATTTCCTATAATCATTCTCAGGCCATACAATACGAAGGATATAATACATAGATTTTGTGAACGGAATGTCCACGCTGAATTACTGTATAGTACTCAAAGATTTTTATTGTTTTTTCACTATTGTTCACTGAAGGTTATGGAAAACTGTGATTTGTATATATGAAACAAATAAGACAGCGACGATAATATTCCCCCATGATGCGCGAAAACATTTTTCGACATAGATTTGTAGATGTTTGATGATTTATATTCAGTTGATTCATGATTGGATCAGTGGACTTCAAATTGTACTGATTGATTGGTTGATTTTTAGTAAGGAAATATGTCTAAATTACTCTCAAATTGATTTCTTAAACCTGTACGCCAGATCAACAGGGTATTATCAACTTTGAAGTTGGTTCATTAAACTTGAACCAATAGATCTGACACTGAAAATGTATACCATTTCAATTCTGTATTATATTAGCTTAATTTAAAATAAATTGATAACAATATTCGTCTATTCAATTAGTATTTACAAAGATTTTCTAAGCGATTATTTTGATTAAGTAAATTAATCATTGGGGATATCCTTTTCAATTGATTAAATATTCATGAGTACCTGTGTGAATGACATATGCTGCTCCTATAATCTATTGCTTAACAAGCTTTTTACACTTTTACTGTATGACACAACTAAATATTAGAATATATTTTGTTTAATTCAACTGATTACAAAATGTTCAAACGTATATCTAGACTTGAAAAAATGAAGGTAGCCTATGAACCTGGATTTAGTACAGACTATATGACACCTGTAAATCGTTTACAAAGATACATCATTTTTCTGGGTAATTTTGAAAATTCCAGGAAGGAGCCAACTTCGCGATGCGAAATAGTGAGCCGACAGCCGTACGATTTCGTTTGATTGTATCTTGAACTTGTACAGAATGGGTCGAATTTTAAGGAATTACCAAGGCCAAGCGCTTATATATTTGGGAGCAATGCCATTCAATATCAGTTTCCCAAATTTTTCACTATAAGCTAAAGTAACCATATTTATACTGAGTAACTCGATCATGTTTAAACTGTCCTCCTTGGACGGGGCATTCCTCCTTGGACGGGGAATTCCTCATTGTCCAGAGGAACCGCAGCGTGCAGGGGAAAACCTGTGGTGTTCTGATTAGAAAGCATTCTTCAGATGAAACTAAGACGACGTTATATTAAATAATGAATATGTAGAATCAAATTCTGGCATATAAGAAAGGCATATATGTATGCATTAACCACTGTAAACAGGCACTTCTTATTCTCTATAAGAAAATCACTTATTGTGTTCGTGAAGTAAGGGGCGGATTTACAATCTACACATTTCTTTAACCACGTATCATATATTTCATGATATTTATGTTTCGTTTCTATCTCTTATATATAGTTATCAGTGCTCTTGTATTCTTCATCATTTTCAACTTTGTTAATGTTCACGGAAAGCCTGTATCTTCTGGAAACAACAATCAAACATGTCCAAAGAAGCTAGAGATTGAACGTCTTCCTGATAACGTCGAAAGAGATATGGAAACTCTTTGTAAGATGGTTCAATGTAATAAAAGTGTAAGTTTACATCCCTCACGAATATCGCAACACAACACAACACAACATTGAAAACAAAAATAGCAAGAACACACGTCCGCCACTAAAAACAGCAACAAAACAACAGTAAGAACAAAAACAAATTCAACAACAGCATAACGCCATCACAACTGAAGAACTGAAACATCAACAACACCAGCAACAACAACATAACACATGCACATGTGTTCTTCAAAGATACAGTCATGTTCTTTAAAAGTTTCTTAATTTATCTTAGAGAAAAGGTCAACTATCAACATTATTTCCCAAAATGAAGAGCATGTTATCAAATTTTTCAACTCTCAAAAAGCTGGGAAAAGACAAGGTATGTCGGAGTATACCAACTTATAAACGTTGTATGTAAGGGACTATAGCAAGAACCCTGCATACCTGTTGCTCCAGTGTTTCTTCATGAGAAATTTATTTAACAACTTAATTAAAAACTGTTTACTTTTCAATGCACACACAAGTAACAACGGATATTTCCCAAACGGGGAAGTAGCGAACGGCCCGTAAGAACAATGGAAAACCAGAACATCTGTTTAATGGATTGGGTAAAACTGAAAGCATTTTTCTCACATGCGAAGCGAAGATTATCTTTAGATATCTCGTGCATGTTGCAGAACTTGGACACACCATATTTTTAGATTACAACTGTTCGTCATTGATAAGAAAATAAACCTAAAACTCAAGTGCATGATGGAAAATAATTAGAAATTTTCGTTGATAAAGTTTTGCCTTGTATTTGAAAGAATTCTTATGTGATGTGTGTCATTCCAGATTGTCGAACGTTTGTACTTTTTCCACAATATCCTTGGAGATGGTTACGGATTATTTGGAAAGAAGAAAAGTAATCAATTGATGAAAGTAAAAACGATCAATATTGTCATCCAGATCAAAGCACTGGTAAGTTGATGCACTTGACGTATTCATTGAGTCGCTTGTTTCTTTCTGTTTCCTTTGGAAACTATTGAAATGTTGCGTAGGCCGCAGGCATGCATCTGTCATTTGAGGCCGAGGCTGTCTGGAGAATTCGTCTGACTAAAGCCTCCATAAATAAAGCCTCTATCTCAGTCAAGTAAAGTCTAGAATTTTAACAAATGGGATGTACATTTTCTCTGTTCATTTTTCTATGCTGGCGTGAGATGGTGTAATTGGAAAATAATTTTTAGACATTCATGATACAATCACAACAAAATGATTTCGATGGCGCCATGTCTATAATTCTTTTTATCATATAGTAGAGAGTGAGATACTGAGAAATACACAGTGAGATATTTTCCATATCTTCACTAGTGAAGATATCGATCACGTGACTTTTTCCAATTTGCATTTGAGCGTGAAATTTCACAATTTTTTGCTTGGGACTATATAATAAACAGAGCATTACACGGTGGCTTGAAGATCTGACTTTTATCTTCTCGTGTTAAAAACAATATTTTACTCACTCTCTGGGCTCGTTCGTATAATATTGTTTTCACGACTCGAAGATAAAAGTCATATCTTCGCGCAGCCGTGTAATATCCCCTCTATACGTAATTTCAGTCATATGAAGATTATGAACACCTATAAGTACGTTTATACCCACTCAGGTGCATGAATTTCCCGGTCAACCGAGCTCACGTGAGCTTAGGTAGCGGTGAAGGATATTCACGAGGTTCGTCGAAGAATCTACCTGTACACATATGAACAGACCCTAACTATGTTTAGTGGTGTGTCGTTTTCTGCTATTGAATATTCGCTGAAATAAATAAATAAAAAATTAAGTGGAAACATAAAAGTAATGCGATTCATTTTACCCACAGGCTGAGATCTTACAAAAAAACACAGGTTGCAATCCCGGAAAACCTGGGAACGGATTTATATTTAATTTGCCCAAAGACAAGCCATTGTCTGGGAATAATTCGAGCTTCCTGTACCATTTTGCTGCACTTCTCAAAGAAATGCTACCTGAATTTGAGAAAAACGTTGTGGAACAATTAAAATTTACATAAAATTGTAGTATATATAATATAATTATGTATCTAGAAAGTAACTTCAGTGAAGTAATATAAAAATAAATTATAAAAATGGTTATATTAATCATAAAAATAAAATTTAAAAAAGTAATATTTATTATAAATATAAGAATATTTTAAAACATTTAAAACTTGAAGTAATATGTTATTTATTAATTATTAAATAATATTAATTGGTTACATTAATATAAAAATGAAATTTAAAAATGTAATGTTAAATATAATATTTAAATATTATAATAAATATTTAAAACTTTTATCATGTTAAGCCTTGGCTTTTGGGGCCAACATCCAAATAAAGTTTATATAAAAAAATAAGTAATGTTATATTAATAAAAACAAAAAGAAATACTAACGAAAATAATATTCACATTAATTTTTTTTTAAATGTTATCGAAATAAGAGTTGTAAAATATGTTTAATGATTATGTTAATTATATATAGTAATAATTAATAAATATTTAAGTATATAACTATGAACTTTTGAAATTCACTAGTGATCGAGAACGTTTGAAATATTATATTATTATAATGAGATGCGGCTATGTTGGTTGGGGGGGGGGGGGGGGG